GAGGGGTTGGCCTGGAGAGGGGAGCAGGTGAAACTGGATAGTTTCTTGATGGTTTCCGGACAGACCCATCGAGACCGGGGCCGTGACATGAGTGACCGATCCGAGTAAGTGTCCGTCCAGTGCCCGGGCAGGAATAGGAGGTGTCAAACGGAGGTTCTCCAGTCCCAGTTGGCGTGCCAGCTTGATGTCCATTATGTTGGCTTCGGCGCCAGAATCCACCAGAGCAGCCAGGGTGTGAGTTGAGTCAGAGAGGCGGAGGTGAACTTGCAGCAGGGGTTTGCGGTCGGAGGACTGGATGGTCATTGAACTCAACCGGACTCCCCCTATGCCCGGTGAGCTTCGGCCCTTTAAAGGGCAGGTTACCACACGATGTCCATCACCTCCACAATAGAGGCAGAGGTTTGAGGTGAAGCGGCGCTGGCGCTCTGCAGGAGTGAGGGAGGCTCGCCCAATCTCCATAGGCTCAGACTGATCAAGCTGACCTGGGTGAGTGGCAGTAGATGACAGGAGCCCAGTCGGATCTCTCCGAATGCCGGTAGTAGGTGGACCTTGGCGCCCCCTCTCACGACGACGGGTCTGTATCCTTCTGTCGATCCTGACAGTCAGTGCGATGGCTTCATCAAGAGTGGAAGGCAGTTCATGGGAGACCAACTCGTCCTTGATATAGTCAGCCAAACTATGGAAGAACGCGTCCACCAACGATGGTGTGTTCCAAGAACTTCGTCTAGCCAGGGTTCGGAAGTCGATGGAATGGTCTGCGACTGTACGTCTGCCTTGTCGAATACTGAACAGTTCACGAGACGCCTCTGCGGTGGGTGAATCCAGGTCAAACACCTTCAGCATCTCCTCAGCAAACAGGTCGAAGGTTGCACATGCGGGGGTTTGACGTTCGAACTCTGCTGTTCCCCAGAGTCGAGCTCGGCCCGTCAGGTGAGTGATGGCATACCCAACTTTAGCCCCCTCCGTGGCGAAGGTCCTTGGCTGCAAGGAGAACTGAAGTCGGCAGCTAGTCAGGAATGGCCGGACCTGGGTTGAATCGCCGTTGAACCGCTCGGGGTTTCCAATCTTGGGTTCCGGAGCAGCGGCTGCAATGACCGGGGCAGGTAACTCGGGGGCTGGGCTGGTGGGCAGACTGGCTGGGGTAAGGTTGGTGAGGAGTTGAATGATCATGGCGAGTTGTTGTTGCTGCTGCTGGAACTGCTGCTCATGCTCATCGGTTTCCATGTCGGGGAAAGTGTGCGCTGAGTCCATAATGGTCAGATCGTACTGTCAAGGTTCAGACAGACGACCAGAGGACCACAATTGCGTCACACCAGAAAGTTTATTAAACTTAAGGGAAAAGGGAAGTAGGGAGTGAATGAAGGCTCCAGGGGTAACAGGGATCCCGTCCAATGCGCTGGGTCTGTGCCCCCCCCCAGTGGCAGCGATGCGTCCTATGAAGCCGGTGGTGGGTGGTCCAGAAGTCCTGGGGGGGGGAGACACAGACACAACAGGGCGGAATGAAACCAGGCAGCAGTACAGTTCAAGGGAAATCCAAAATACGTAGTAGCAAGGCAGAAGACTGGTCAGAGTTACCGGGATTGAAGAGTAGTCAGGAGTCGTAATGGCAGAAGCAGGTCTGGATCTCCTGAGGCAGAAGAGTATCCAAAAAACAGGCAGGTCCGGGGTCACAAAACCAGGGTGAGCCAGAAGCGCGAGCAAACAGGTTCCGGGTGTGAGCTTTGCAGACGATCTGACACCGGAGAGCTGAAAGACAGGGCCTTAAATACTGGGAGAGGTAGTGGGTAATGCAGCGCAGCTGGCAGAGTAATTAGAGCAGAGCAGAGCAGGGACAGGTGGAGCTAGTTAGGCTGAGTAGAGAGAGTGGTGAGCAGAGTGGAAGAAAATTAAGGTGGTAACCCGGTGGAGTGAGAGGCCCATGACAGAGAGAGGCCTGTAATTTTCATCATAGGTACACGTCAACTATGACAGACAAAATGAGAAAAAAAAATCCAGAAAATCACATTGTAGGATTTTTAATGAATTTATTTGCAAATTATGGTGGAAAATAAGTATTTGGTCAATAACAAAAGTTTCTCAATACTTTGTTATATACCCTTTGTTGGCAATGACACAGGTCAAAAGTTTTCTGTAAGTCTTCACAAGGTTTTCACACACTGTTGCTGGTATTTTGGCCCATTCCTCCATGCAGATCTCCTCTAGAGCAGTGATGTTTTGGGGCTGTCGCTGGGCAACACAGACTTTCAACTCCCTCCAAAGATGTTCTATGGGGTTGAGATCTGGAGACTGGCTAGGCCACTCCAGGACCTTGAAATGCTTCTTACGAAGCCACTCCTTCGTTGCCCGGGCGGTGTGTTTGGGATCATTGTCATGCTGAAAGACCCAGCCACGTTTCATCTTCCGTTCTTGTGATCATTTTGACCCCACGGGGTGAGATCTTGCGTGGAGCCCCAGATCGAGGGAGATTATCAGTGGTCTTGTATGTCTTCCATTTCCTAATAATTGCTCCCACATTTGAGTTCTTCAAACCAAGCTGCTTACCTATTGCAGATTCAGTCTTCCCAGCCTGGTGCAGGTCTACAATTTTGTTTCTGGTGTCCTTTGACAGCTCTTTGGTCTTGGCCATAGTGGAGTTTGGAGTGTGACTGTTTGAGGTTGTGGACAGGTGTCTTTTATACTGATAACAAGTTCAAACAGGTGCCATTAATACAGGTAACGAGTGGAGGACAGAGGAGCCTCTTAAAGAAGAAGTTACAGGTCTGTGAGAGCCAGAAATCTTGCTTGTTTGTAGGTGACCGAATACTTATTTTCCACCATAATTTGCAAATAAATTCATTAAAAATCCTACAATGTGATTTTCTGGATTTTCTTTTCTCAATTTGTCTGTCATAGTTGACGTGTACCTATGATGAAAATTACAGGCCTCTCATCTTTTTAAGTGGGAGAACTTGCACAATTGGTGGCTGACTAAATACTTTTTTTCCCCACTGTATAAACTATCCATTTATTATATATTGAGTGTGAAATGCTCTGCTAATACATGAAAAAGAATTCCAATCTTGCGGGAAGCCTTCATCTAAAGGAAGTGTCCTCCAGAAGTGTTTAGCTCTCATGAAGTTCTCACGAAGCTCTCCCACCGGCAGGCTGTGTCATACCGTAATTATGGGATTGCTTGCTTGTGTCTGTGTCATAGCACTAGAATCCAGGAAATAATATATATACTTTGGGGAACCATTTACCCATCAATATTGATTTGATCAATCTCAGTAAGTCATTGAAATACTGTAAAATTTATGAATTGCATCATTATTGAAATGGGGCATAAAATACAATATCTGTCCTATAAAGCTGAGATCCTCGATAGGCGAAACATCGCCACTGGCCGCCCCAGGTGCATTTGTTATTGTTTTTGTTTTGAGGAAATGAGCGTCCAGCGTCATGGTAAAAAAAAATCTTAGTACATACTCTGCTGTTCTATTGCAAGTGCAATGATGTGCAATGATGTTGTTGTAATATTGCAAAAGGACGTGGCAGTTTCGCCGCTATGGATTACAGTTTAAGGTTGACTGATGCTATTGCCTGTCACAGTTACCTGAGACCATTGAGACACAGTATGTGGGAAGGATAGTTCCTTTCATTGCCCGATGTTGTCAGATTGCAGATGCTGACTGAAACATAATAATACTTTTCCACAGCTGAATTATGCACCAGCTAACAATGAATGAAAGCCAGCAGCGTAAAAATTACCTGGGGTGTTGACATCCTAAGTGCCAATGTAACCTCATTATTTCATAGTTATGCTCCCGTAAGGTAGCTAAACTACTCTAGACTATTTTATTCCCTATTTAAATGATTCACCTCATGTTTATTTGCTGTAGGTGGTTGGCAGCATAGTCCATAGTGACAGGACTGATGAGTAAAGGTTGGCATTCTACTGCTACTGATCAGTTCATGATCAATGTGTCAATGTAAATTACAGTAATGTATCTATTACACACATATTACACTAGAGGCCAAGACGCTAGAGAAGAGGACCAGTAGCCAGAAGGTTTGAATCCCAGGACGGGTATTAAAAATTAACTGACAACCAGAATGCACCTGGGATTAGATCTCCTCCTTAACCCAACCATAGTGCCAGAGGCACTGCACTGCGGCTGACCCTGTGCTACTCCCAATGTATGGTGTTTTTCCACTTCTGATGGACTATAGTGCTACAGGCGCGGGTGTTTTGATTGATGGGCATCATGGGCCGTTGCACTAAAGTTGTTTGGGGACGCATCGGTGTCCTCTCTCTTTCTTTTTTATAACCAAAAAATATATTTACTTTTGTTTTGATAAATCAATGTTATATCACTCGTTTAAACATGACTTAAGATGATGGAGAGAATTATTGTAAAATTAACTGTGTCCATAAGGTGTAGATAGTAAGTATAGACGGGAAGTAGAGGCCTGGGCATTGTTGTTCACTAATGTACTCCAAGTAGGGAAAGGATGGCTGGGTTGAAAAGTAATAAAGGGGAGTATATATATAAAAAACATGGGGGATTGGAAGTGATGCAGACAATTACATTGATAGAAGATACAATCTATCTGCAATATTAAGCTGATCCATCCCCCCCCCCCAAAAAAAAAAAAAAATAATAATAATAGAACGTAAAATACACAATAGATTGATGTCAGCAAGTAAGACAAATATAAGTCAATATACCAATTATTTAGAGGATATGACTATTGATTTATTTTTTATTTTAAGCTTGTTGAGCTTTATTTCAAGCTTTTATTGTGTCTGAATACAGTTTTGGGGGTATTTTTTTATTCCAATTCATAGTACATTACAGTACATTATGAAAAGTAATTTCGATTAAGGCAGTGTTTTTGTCTTTGTCAAAATGTCTTTGTTGTGGAAAATGTATTTGGTGTCTGTCATCACCTTGATTTCCTTCCTCTTAGTTGATGATGGGGGTTTTGCCAGCGATGACTCACTGACATTGCTTAACTTCACAGGCTTTAGGTGTATATAAGACGTCCCCTGGCCACACACCACACAAACAAGACGCTCTCGAGGAAGAAGCATGAAGACTTTCATTCTGTGCTTACTACTAGTCAACCTGGCAATAGTGGTTTACTCTTTGCCAATATCGCCGCCTACTGAAGAAGATGAAGTTCTTGCAGAGGTATGCTTTTTGTCACATCTTTTGCTAGAAGGGTCTATATGGGTTTTACAACTGAAATTATTATGATAGAACAGATGTGTACATGTAACTTCATATGGCTTGGTCAGGTTGTTATTGCAAAACAGAATATTGACTTACCCGGTTATAAATAAAGGCTAAATAAATATACATTCTAATGAGTTGTGTTGAACTATTGAAGTGCAAGAACTATTGAAATCCCTGCTTAGTTAGTTGCTATACTCATAACACAGTAAAGTCATTGTATATTTTAACTCTTGCTGTGTGAGCCTTGTACACCTACCATAGGATATTATATTCATAACTGTAGTAAATGGCACCATAATGTCCTATCATATTAACATCATGCTTGCTCTGTTTTCTGTAGACGTACCTGAAGAGATTTTTTAACCTGACAGAGGAGACGGGTCCTACGGCCAGACGGGGGCCCAGCCAGCGGAGCAGGAAGGTCAGCGAGATGCAAACATTCTTTGGCCTCCAGGTGACAGGCACCTTGGACGCTGAGACCGTGACGATGATGAAGAAGCCACGCTGTGGCGTACCTGATGTCCAACCCAGCCGCTTCACCACCTTCGACAATCGCAAGTGGCAGACCAACCAGGTTACCTACAGGTGAGAGGAGTGAGAAAGCATAAATACACCACGGTCAAATGTGTCTAAGACAAAATAGGGCTTGTAATGTTAACATTTAGTTAGTTGCAATATCAATCAGGTGGTGTTTAAACACAAAGGCAAGTATCCACTTAGTGTGGATAATAAAGTTTTTTGTATTTGCAAACATCAAGTTATACACAGAGACACTATGAGTGATAAGCCTTGGGATTGTTAGGGATTGTTGAACCAAAAAATAATTTCAACATTGAGAAATGTTTTTCTAATGTTGACTGTTGGTGTATTGTGTTCTTCAGGATTGAGAACTACACCCCTGACATGTCTGTGGCTGAGGTGGACAACTCCATAGAGAGAGCACTACAGGTGTGGGCCAAGGTCTCCCCCCTGAGGTTCACCCGCATCTACAGCGGCACCGCTGACATCATGATCTCCTTCGGCACCAGAAGTAAGCAACTTTTATCCTACCAAACACAATGTTAATGTGACCAACTGAAACAGAATTCATTCAATATTAAGAAAGTCTAACCTGGAAGTACTTGCGTGGGTTTCTGGATATGTTTGTAAAAGCTACACTGTAACTGAAAACTGTAATTTATATGGTAATTTTGGTATAGTAAAATACTGTGAAACGTTTACTGTAAGTTATGATGCATTGTGGGAACATTTTGTGGGTGGGGAAGGAATTGCTGTATTTGGAATGGTACTGTAATTCCATCCCACAGAATACAGTACCAGATCGTATTTTTGGAGTGCCAAAAACCTTTTGTCCACTAGTGAGTGCATGGCATTGTTGTCTGGCTCATTAACATTTTTTACATTTTTTACATTTTAGTCATTTAGCAGACGCTCTTATCCAGAGCGACTTACATGAGCAATTAAGGTTAAGTGCCTTGCTTAAGGGCACATCGACAGATTTTTCACCTAGTCGGCTCGGGGATTAGAACCAGCGACCTTTCGGTTACTGGCACAACGCTCTTACCCACTAAGCTACCTGCCGCCCTACATATTATGAGGTGTGCCTTGAAAAAGGCTATATTTGTTGCACCCGTTAGTGAGAGTGCTGTTCCACTTTAACTGGTATGTGGTAGTAGTGCCCCATCAATTACAATGTATAGGGGACAGATTAGAGTGGCTGCAAGTCTTAAACCTTTAATGGTCAACCTCAAATTACCAACCTGCTTGCACCAATCCCACGTAATTACAGTAAAATATAAACCCCACCTCCCCTCAGTGAATATCATTCATTCATCCATTCATTACAGTCTAATACAGCCAATTTTTAAGTATTGTACTGTGTGTAGTTACACAGTACATGCTTAGATACTGTACTTAGAATACAGTCGGTATATTGCAATATGAAATACAGTAACTTACTAACCACTAGCTGCCTTTAAGTTACTGTCAAATTCACGTTAACCCCTTTACAGTGTACTATAATACACTAATAAGCTGATGTACGAAAATGTCATACTGTACATGTTCACAAAGAATGCATCCATTTAAAAAGGGAACATGCAGTATGTACTGTACAGTGCTTTGTTTTGAAAGACACACAGACACTTCAAAGGCTCTCAGGATGTTTTTGTATAGCAGGGTTAGAAAGGGAGGGCTGTAGGGAGATACCTGTGGAGGATCCACTGTTTACATTCCTCTTGTCAGAGCATAGTGCAGGTATAGGCCTATTCAGGGGCACCCTCCGCTCCATACCACTTACATAACCAACATCACCACCACTCGTAAACACAGACATCCACAATGGTCTCAGTGGCTTGCTACTGCACTTTAATCTGTCTTGTACATGTTTTGATGAGTTGAAAGAATGGAGAGACACCCAGATACCACTTACATAACCAACATCACCACTCGTAGTCTTAAACACACACATCCACAGTGGCATCAGTATCATGTCACTGCTCGCCCCTCACTATAATCCGTATTTACAGTTTGATGAGTTGAAAGGGTGTTATTAGAGCCACTCTGCCATATTTCACCCTCTGAGGTGTTACGATGGGCTCCCTATAAGTGCATCGGTTTTAAGAAACTAACATTTGATATAAATAATTTGAATATAAATGTTTATACAGTATGCATTTGTCCTCGTCTCTGATGGCTCAAACTATGATTTCTCCCATCTGTGTAGATCATGGTGATTCTTACCCCTTCGATGGCCCGGATGGCACCCTGGCCCATGCCTTCTCGCCTGGTCCTGACATTGAAGGAGATGCTCATTTTGACGATGACGAGTACTTCACCTTCAGCTCAACCAGAGGTGAGACCCTCTATCACAACAATATGTGAACATGACTTAATTTACCCTGTTTCAATTCTAGGACAATCCTGGGTGACATGTCATGATAATTGCCACAAAAGAGTAGAAGATCTGTACCAGTAATTATGTATTATCATCATATAGGGTACAACCTGTTCTTGGTGGCTGCACATGAGCTTGGCCATTCCCTCGGTCTCAGCCACTCCAACGACCCTGGAGCACTGATGTTCCCAGTGTACAGCTACACAGACCCCAGCACCTTCTCTCTGCCTCGCGATGACGTCAACGGTATCCAGTACATCTATGGTCAGTATTCAATTATCTTTTCTCTTTCTGTCCAGTTTGCTTTAGCTTTATATTGCTGTATTCCACTTTGTTTGCTTTTGACTGATCAACAAAAAGGTTCAGGCCAAATACGTTATATTATTGATCTCCAAGTAAATCAATTATGAGACTTGAGAACTGTGCATTTTTTACAGGAACTTGAATTTATGAGTATCTGTGTCCTCCAGGTCCAAACCCAGATGTGAACCCCAACCCAGACAAGCCAGATCCTACACCCCCTTCCACCCCTGATGCCTGTGATCCCACCCTGGTTCTGGATGCTGTCACCACTCTGCGTGGGGAGAAGATGTTCTTCAAGGGCAGGTACAGCAAATCATGTAGCCTAGATCAAATGTTCAGTGACTTATGGTAACCTACAGTTCAAAAACAGTCAATGAATGACACAGTTTCCAAGGGAAACAGGTTGTCTGTTCATGTGATCCAGAGCTCTAACGTCCTCATGTCTTCCCTCCATCCTCAGGTTCTTCTGGCGTAGCTACTATCAGAGCAGCACACCACAGCAGAACCTCATCAAGACCTTCTGGCCCGGACTCCCCGACAACATCAATGCTGCTTACGAGAGCCAGCTATCTGACAGAGTGTTCCTCTTCAAAGGTATGGCAGAGTCACCAAATGCCTCAAATTAGCCCTGGTATGGCTGTAGTCTCCATAACATGTCTAGAGACAAGAGAAGTGGAGGCTACAGCCATTTATAGAGCTAGCCTCATACACTACTACTACACTACAGGCTAGTACACTATACAATATGGCTGTAATGAATACTGTGTGAATACGTGAACCTGTTAAAGAGTCATATCTCAGTAATACTGTCTCTGTCCCTGCAGATCGTCAGGTCTGGGCTCTCTCCGGCTATGACATCGTCCCCGGCTATCCCAAAAACCTGAACAGCTTGGGTCTGCCCAGTACCGTGAAAAAAGTAGATGCCGCCCTGTACGATGTAGATTCTCGCAAGAGCTTGTTCTTTGTTGGTGACTACTACTACAGGTTAGTGGAGTCTAGTTTATCATTACAAGTTATTGCATTTTTATTCACTTTTCTATGTACTGTATATTGCCATTAGATATTGATGTCAAGAGTATCACAATCTCACTAATATTTCTGTTACCGTAGTTACGATGAGGAAATGAAAAGGATGGACAAAGGTTTCCCCAAGCGTGTGGATGAAGGGTTCCCAGGCATGACAAGCAAAGTGACTGCAGCCTTCCAAGTCCGAAGTGAGTGTGATACAGCATCTAAACACAACTGTGCATTACAAGCCAATCATATGGAAATATACAAAATATGATTTCATACCTTCTACAGTTTTCATTTAATATAAGAAAATCCCCTGAATAGTCCTTTTAATGCATATTTTAGATGTTGAGTATTGATAGTTTGTCAGTGCAGCATCCCACTGGGCACATACATCAATTCAACATATTTTCCTCGTTGGTTCAACGTCAAAATGACGTGGAAACAATGTTGATTCAACCAGTGTGTGCCCAGTGGGATGTCTCTAACCTCTCTACCCTATATGGTTTTACAGGCTTCACCTACCTTTATAGTGGCTCCTACGTGTTTGAGTACAGCATGAGGACCAGGAGACAGTTACGCGTGCTAGGAAACAGCTACTTCCTGCCCTGTTAGAACATTGACCCTCATGAGCCATTTAAAGTAGCAGCCGTGAACAACAATGAATGCAGCCAAATAACAGTTGTATTTTTTTCTAATACGTAATGTTGTTGTAATTTAGAAATTTTACAGATTTGTTTTCTAATACATATTGTCACATATCTATTTAAATATCTATTCATGTATCTAAATTATTTGATATGTTTCTTGATTAAATTGTAACCTAAATAATCAGAAGAAATTAATGTCTTGAATGAAGGCCAAACACATTTTTACACTTTGCATATTCAAATAAATTCCAAGTTATTGCGATTTCGGTGTTATTGTGATTTTTTGCCTTTTACTATGGTGGACTTATGGTGGAAACATTATGAAGCATAGATTTGTATTTGATCCATTGCTGATGAAGCCTTAGATGACATTACCAAACAATTCCCTTAAACAAATATACAACCCACAGAGGGTCCTACTAATCACCCCAAACAGGTACCCTAAACAACCACAAACAACCCCAAACAAACCCCAACAACCACAAACAGGTACCCCAAACAACCACGAACAGGTACCCCAAACAACCACAAACAGGTACTCCAAACAACTGTCAAAGTTGCGTCAATTCAAATCTGGCATTAGGAACAAAAGAGGTCAACACGACTTCTAAGATATACTAGTTATTTTAATTAATGCAAAAACCTTCAATGGTAAATATGATGTTTCGTATATACGGGCTCTTTGAAATACCTTGCAGGGCACTTCAGAGAACTAACCCATTGTTCTAGGTTCTTGCTCAAATACTCTGACAGAGAGAGTTTCCCACCTCTCTGCTGGCCAATCAGAGCAGAGACTTGAGCGTGGTTTAGACTTACTCAGCCTATCCGTTGGCACACAGGCTAGTCCCCCGCCTCTTAGCGCATCCCTGTTTCCAGGCATACGTTCATCATAACAACCTGTCATAGTGAGAAGAGCCAGCTCCCTTAGACACCATTCCTACGTCCAAGGAAGGTTCACAGATCACAAAGAACCAGTATATTCCGGTATCTGGAGACAAAATCCTTATCTCATTTTACCCCCTAAAACAGCTCTTCACATCAATCACAGCTTGCCAGGTGTCACAACCTACATTAGCACAGTCTAGAATGCATTCTTTCTAAGTTAGTCATCCCATCAATTATGAAAATAATAAATCCCCAATACAACCACAAACAGGTACTCCAAACAACCACAAACAGGTGTCCCAAACAACCACAAACAAACCAAACAAACCCAAACAGGTACCCCAAACAACCACAAACAGGTACCACAAACAACCCCAAACAGGTACCCAAAAGAACCCAGAAGTACCACATCCCCAAACAACCCCAAACAATGAGAAGCAACCAGCTGCAGATTATGCATGCTGAGGCCACCTGGTATGCGAACCTCAAAGTGCTATTTTTGGGGGGTATTTCTGCGTCTCAGTTTGTATGTGTGCATGCAGTGCTCTAACGCCCTGGACCATAGCTATAATCTGTCACTAGCTCTGGTCCAAGTCATAGCTAGTAGCTAGCTAGCTGTGGTCCACCCTAGCTCTGGTCCAGGGCATTGCTAGTATCGCAGGTCCTTACTTGCTCTGGTCCAAGCTAGCTAACTACTAGCTATGTCCTGGACCAGAGCTATAGCTAGCTAGAAGCTAGCTAACTCCTAGCTACACCCTGGACCAGAGCTAGTTAGTGTGGACCAGAGCTAGACCAGAGTTAATGCAGATTAGAGTTAGCTAGCTAACTATTAGCTACACTCTGGACCAGAGCTAGTGTGGACCAGAGCTAGCTAGCTACTAGCTATACCCTGGACCAGAGCTAGTTATTGTGGACCAGAGTTAATGTGGACCAGAGTTAATGTGGACCAGAGTTAATGTGGACCAGAGCTAGTTAGTTAGTTACTAGCTACGCCCTGGACCAGAGCTAGTGCGGACCAGAGCTACTAGCTATGCCCTAGACCAGAGCTAGTGTGGACCAGTGCTAGTGGCAGATTATAGCTCTGGTCCAGGGCATTAGAGCACTGCGCAAATACCAAAGCAAAAATATCATCTGAGACGCAAGCGCATGCGCTTTGAGGTTTGCAGACCAGATGGCCTCATGGTGCATAATCTGCAGTTGGATGTTTCTTGTTGTGTGGGGTTGTGGGATACTTTTGGGTTCTTTTTGGTACCTGTTTGGGGTTGTTTGGGGTACTTTGGGGTTCTTTTGGATACCCATTTGTGGTTGTTTGGGGTGATTAGTAGGACCCCCAATGGTTATCTGTATTAAGGTACATGAAAGCATAACAAATGGAATGGATAATATAATAACATACACTACCGGTCAAAAGTTTTAGAACACCTACTCATTCAAGGTTTTCTTTATTTTTACTATTTTCTACATTGTAGAATAATAGTGAAGACATCAAAACTATGAAATAACACATATGGAATCATGAAGTAACCAAAAAAGTGTTAAACAAATGAAAATATATTTGAGATTTCAGATTCTAAAAATAGCCACTCTTTGCCTTGATGACAGCTTTGCACACTCTTGGCATTCTCTCAACCAGCTTCACCTGGAATGCTTTTCCAACAGTCTTGAAGGAGTTCCCACATATACTGAGCACCTGTTGGCTGCTTTTCCTTTACTCTGCGGTCCGACTCATCCCAAACCATCTCAATTTGGTTGAGGTCGGGGGATTGTGGAGGCCAGGTCATCTGATGCAGCACTCCATCACCCTCCTTCTTGGTAAAATTGCCCTTACACAGCCTGGAGGTGTGTTGGGTCATTGTCTTGTTGAAAAACAAATGATAGTCCCACTAAGCCCAAACCAGATGGGATGGCGTATCGCTGCAGAATGCTGTGGGAGCCATGCTGGTTAAGTGTGCCTTGAATTCTAAATAAATCACAGACAGTGTCACCAGCAAAGCACCCCCACACCATAACACCTCCTCCTCCATGCTTTACATTGGGTAATACACATGCAGAGATCATCCGTTCACCCACACCGTGTCTCACAAAGATCTCCAATTTGGACTCCAGACCAAAGGACACATTTCCACCGGTCTAATGTCCATTGCTCTTGTTTCTTGGCCCAAGCAAGTCTCTTCTTCTTATTGGTGTCCTTTAGTAGTGGTTTCTTTGCAGCAATTCGACCATGAAGGCCTGATTCACACAGTCTCCTCTGAAGAGTTGATGTTGAGATGTGTCTCGTTACTTGAACTATGTGAAGCATTTATTTGGGCTGCAATTTCTGGCTGGTAACTCTAATGAACTTATCCTCTGCAGCAGAGGTAACTCTGGGTCTTCCATTCATGTGGCGGTCCTCATGAGATCCAGTTTCATCATAGCCCTTGATGGTTTTTACAACTGCACTTGAAGAAACTTTCAAAGTTCTTGAAATGTTCTGTATTCACTGACCTTCATGTCTTAAAGTAATGATGGACGGTTGTTTCTCTTTGCTTATTTGAACTGTTCTTGCCATAATATGTACTTGATCTTTTACCGAATAGGGCTATCTTCTGTATAACCTCCCTTCCTTGTCACAACACAACTGATTGGCTCAGACGCATTAAGAAGGAAATAAATTCCACAAATTAACTTTTAAGAAGGCACACCTGTTAATTGAAATGCATTCCAGGTGACTGGTTGAGAGAATGCCAAGCGTGTGCAAATCTGTCATCAAAGCAAAGGGTGGCTATTTGAAGAATCTCAAATATAACATATATTTTGATTTGTTTAACACTTTTTTGGTTACTACATGATTCCATATGTGTTATTTCATAGTTTTGATGTGTTCACTATTATTCTACAATGTAGAAAATAGTAAAAATGAAGAAAAACCCTTGAATGAGTAGGTGTTCTAAAACTTTTGACCGGTAGTGTAGATGGAGAATAACAATGAAGGAACTCAATCTTCTACATGCCACACTGATTTAGTATACCACAAGGTATAACTAAACTAATTATTTAGGGAAATTATATGGTGTGTGACTTTATATGGTGTGTAGATCTTTTGTTATTTTCACGGTACAATTTCGATGAGAAAACTCAGAATCGCTCTGCCATATCAAGCAATGTCCCCCTTGTAATGAAATACTGAGGCCAATGAGTATCATGGTCCAAACACACCAAGAAAGTCATGAAGAGGGCATGACAACGCCTTTTCCCCCTCAGGAGACTGAATGATTTGGCATGGGTCCCCAGATCCTCAAAAGGTTCTACAGCTGCACCATCGAGAGCATCCTGACCGGTTGCAAAACTGCCTGGTATGGCAACTGCTCGGCATCTGACCGTAAGGCGATACAGAGGGTAGTGCGTACAGCCCAGTACATCACTGGGACCAATCTTCCTGCCATCCAGGACCTATATACTAGGCGATGTCAGAGGAAGGCCCCAAAAATGGTCAAAGACTCCAGTCACCCAAGTCATAGACTGTTCTTTCTGCTACCGCACGGCAAGGCTCCTTAACAGCTTCTACCCCCAAGCCATAAGACTGCTGAATAATCAAATGGCCACCCGGACTATTTGCATTGACTCTCCCCCCCCCCCCCCCCCTGCTGCTACTTGCTGTTTATTATCTATGCATAGTCACTTTACCCCTACCTACATGTACAAATTCCTTGACTAACCTGTACCCCCGCACATTGACTCGGTACCAGTACCTCCTGTATATAGCCTCATTATTGTTATTCTATCGTGTTACTTTTTAGTTATTTTTATTTTTATTTCTTAAAACTGCATTGTTGGTTAAGGGCTTGTAAGTAAGCATTTCAAGGTAAGGTCTACACCTGTTGTATTCGGCGCATGTAACAAATACAATTTTATTTTATTTTATGAGCAATGGAAAGAAACCATGAGCTAGCATGACAGTCCCCAGGCTACATGAGAAAATGACACACCTTTGGCAACTATTTTCTAGGAATTAATTGGCCATCCCATGCACATGCTTGGTCTAACCCCCATTATAGTCCAGTGACACAGGAGAAAATTAGAGGTTAGAGTTGCACAGATACCAATTATATGTTATGATACATCAAAAACGGGTTTTCAGTTGTCACATCAGTATGAGGCATGCTAACGATACACAAAGAGGCTAGTCTCCTCTCATGACAGGTACAAGCTAGGAGCCAAGATCCTCCCCTCTTGCCAATTAAGTTTTTACAATTGCCTAATCCCCTGTTTCTGCTCTTTGAGCTCAAATAAAACACATACTGGGAAGTTACAGTCGGTCAACATCAGTTTAACAAGTTTCTCCCTCAAGAAAATATTCCACAGTGATTTATAAAATAGTTGTATATGTCTGAACGCTTG